CATCTGGTGAAAATTTCATATCATTAGCACCTCTAGTAATATATTTACTGAGAAAAATGGTGACGTGTTCAATACTTATTTTACCCGCTGTATTCTGGGTTGTTTTTGATGTGAAGTTTTGGTCTTGTGATTGTTGTGTTTCATCAGAACACGGTGGCTCCCCTCACCGCCCGGGAGCTCAGCGGCAAGAGGAAGAGGGAGCAATCGTCAGAAAGCGACGACGTCGGCGAGGCGGGAGAAGAGGAGAATGTGTGTCCAAACGGAGGGAAGGACAAGGCCCCAGCTGCTGCGCGGAAGGTCAGAGGTCAAAGCAGCAGCAGACAGAAGCTGTTTGGTGACAGAGCCGAATCCTCCAGGACAAAAACCGGTGAGGACGGAGAACCGTTCTGCGGCTCACAGACACGTCAGCGTTTGACACGAGCAATGAGCTCTTCCTGTCTTCTTCATGTCCTGTTTTACAGTTAGTGAAGCAGAGACACAGGAGCTGGTGGGGAAAACACCTCCTCAGAGTGCATCCAGGACAAAGAGTCGTCAGTCCAGGACTCCCACACAGACTGGTGCGTTTCTGCAGACATAATGCACCGTTTAACTTCATCACACTCGTTCACCTGTGTCCATCCCTCCGTGTGTCCCCCCCGCAGCCCCTCTGATCGAGCCGTCGGGACGCTGGGGTCAAACTCTGTGTCCCATCGACGCTCAGACGGCCATTTTAATCGGAGGTCAGGGAGCCAGGATGCAGTTCTGCAAGGATCCGATGTGGAAGCTCTGCACGGGTCGGTCCAAACTTACAGGCTGTGTCCAGATTCAGGGGCTGCGTCCTTCGAAGGACCTACCTGGTCTGAGCCGGGTTCTTTGTTCACATCGAAGACCAGAAGAAAATGGGTGTGAATTGAGACGGTCTAGCCATTACCCCGACGTATGTCCAGAAGCAATGAAGATAGAATTAGGGTTGCAGCAACGAATCGATAGAAGTCGATTATTAAGCGTTGGCAACGAATTTCGTTATCGATTCGTTGTCGCGCCATTTATGCGTCCCTCGCCGTGTCGCAGCGCCGTTTACGTCACCCGCAGAGGGTCGTTGATGCTGGCTGACCTAAATAAAGTTTAGGAAGAAAAACTCTACCTCTAAAGATCCGCCCTCTCTGACTCTCAAGTGAAAAGTAGAGACTTCAAACTTTAAACCAGTTTTTAAATTGTGTTGTTAGGCCAAGTAGATCCAAAGTTATGATAAAAAGTATTTGACACAATTAATTCCTCCAGTTTTTTTTTTTCTGACTGAGGCTCAAAGTTATTTGATAAACAGCAAAAAGGTTCAGGATGAAGGAAAAAAAAAGACGCAGCAGAACTCCTGAACTGACTCAGTAGGGGAGGGGGGAGGGATGGGGGGCTGCTTCAGAACTGCTTACTGGGTCGTTTTAGCCGCAGGCAGAACCAACAAGGAAGCAAAAAGTAAATAATTAGAAAAATCATACATTCTAAATGCAAATAAATTCTAATTATAACAAATTAATACATCTAAAAATCATATTTTATTCTTTTTTATCTGTTTTCCTCATTCAGCAACCTATTAAATTTCTGTTTTGTTATGTTTTATAGCTATAACCAAGTTTATTAATGTATGACATTCACATTTTTGTGTTTTTTCTTTTCCAGTCAGTGTTTAATACGACTGGCAAAATCAATTGTTAAAATATTTATGATGTGCTTCTTTTTTAATTTAGCATATTGTTAGAAAAGAATCCTTCATTTTATGAAAAGACCCTCTTGATTCAATAGAAAACTCTGGTTTTTAAGAAAATGACTGCTTATTAATTAATTGTTAGTCAATCTATAAGATAAATCAACAAGATAAGATAAAACTTTATTGATCCCACATTGGGAAATTTGCACATTACAGCAGCTCAAAACAACTTCAGACAACTTCACATTAATCGATAACTTGCATCCCTAATTTATACAGGAATTAAATTAATTTAAATCTACTCATATTCATGTAATTAAGTGTTTTAATGTTTTGGCCGATTAATCAAACAAATAATCGACAGATTAATATATTTTTTAAATAATCGTTAGTTGCAGCCCTAATAGAAATTAGCGGTCGTCCCAAAATGCATCTTGAGATCCGTGCTTGGAATCAGGATAAATATAATATGATATGATGAGATAATATAATATAATGTAATGTAATTTAATGTAATGTAATGTAATACAATACAAATACTTGCAGGCCGCAGTTGAATCTCCTCGCTGTGACGTAATCTGCCTTCGCAGGACGCAGCCCCTGAATTTGTTTGGACACTGTCCTTTTCTGTGAAAACGCTGTTAAAGCAGGTTTTGACTTTGTCCTCCGTCCACCAGAGGACACGTCCTGGGTGGCGGCGGAGACTCTGGCTGAGGGTCCGACCCCCGAGGCCAGAATTGGGCACACGGCCGTCTACGACCCCGACTCCGAGCGCATCTTCGTGTTCGGGGGTTCCAAGAACAAGAAGTGGTTCAACGACGTCCACATCCTGGACACGCAGAGCTGGAGGTGGAGCATGGTGGAGGTGCGCTGACCCCAGCTCTTTAAAGTGCCTGTGACATGAACTTTTTTAATAAATGTAAAGGCGTTGTTGGAAAGATAACATTATTAATGTGTTGCACAAATAATTTCCCGCTGCTGAGATGAACAGTTGTTGAGAGATTTGCATGTGAAGCAACAGGAAGTGATGTCAAAGGGGAATGTCTGAATGGAACAAAGCATTGATAAAATAGCTAACAGACTGTAGAGAAGAGTCTGATGTTTCTTTAGATTATTTTGAGTTTCTATCAGAGATGAAGTCAGAGTTTAAATAATGTTTCAATAAACAAAGATTACGGAGTTCTCTTTCTTAAAGAGTTCCCCTTTGATGTCACTTCCTGTTGCACTTTGAGCCAAGTTCAAAAGAAAATATGCCATTTATGTGACAAAATGGGCAAAATCACGTTTTATGCAAGGTTTCTTATATAAAAATGTGTTTACTTTGACTTTTTGTATTTGATTGATAAGTTTTTATTTTTTTTCCCACTAATTCTCCCTCCAGGCTCAGGGGAAGGTGCCCCCCCTGGCCTACCACAGCTGCAGCATGTTTCGGGGGGAACTCTTTGTGCTGGGCGGGGTGTTTCCTCGCCCCAACCCGGAGCCCGACGGCTGCAGCGACTCGTTGTACATCTTCGACCCTCACCTCTCCATCTGGTACCAACCCATCGTCACGGGGGACAAACCGTCCCCCCGGTCAGGGTAACAAAACTCCGTCCAAACATTTCTTTTTTTTTATTTTTATTTTGTCCAGACACTTAATGCGACTGATGTGTTTTTCCTCTCAGGCACTCTGCGTGTGTGATTCAGGAGAGGTATATTTACGTGTTCGGGGGTTGGGACACGCCCGTCTGCTACAACGACATGTACATGTTGGACCTCGGTAAGCTACGCCAACTGCTCGCTTAAATAAAAACACACACCGGACGCATAAAACAATAAAACAAATCGTGTTCGTAGGTCTGATGGAATTCTCCGCTGTAAAAACTTGTGGAAAAGCTCCGTCTCCTCGAAGGTTCGATCACACAAAAACCCATGACCCTCACTGCCAGTTTTTGTACACACAACTGAGTGTTTACTTCGACACAATGATTCTGTTATGCTTGTGTTGCAGTTGGCATGGCAGCGCCGTGCTGTCGGACACCAGGTTTCTGATCCACGGCGGTTACAACGGAAACAACGCCCTCAGCGACACCTTCGTCTTCGATACAGGTGAGCAGCGGTTCAGCGGCGATGGTAGGGGGTGTGGCCTTGTGTGTCAAAAAGTGCGCAGCTTTCACACTAAAAGTCGGTGCACGGACAGAAGTGGGAAAGTACAGGAATATTCATGCTCGCATGTTTCTGCGCTTCTTTCATTCATGTATCTTAACAAACGTGGAGCTGAGGCTCCTCCCACTGACACGCTGAGACATTTCCAACTTTACATGTCTTTAAAGTGCCTGTGACGTCAATTTTTATAGTAAATATTAATGTATTTTTAGAAAGATAAGATTGATAACGTATTGTCTAAAAGATTTCATGTCACTGAGATGAGCAGTTGTTGAGATATTTGCATGTGAAGTAGCAGGAAGTGATGTCAATTGGGGTGTAAGAAAATATCGATACACTGAAATATCGCGATATTTCATTTCCCGATACTGTATCAGTATTCTAAAGCCCTGTATCGATTTTTTATTAAGGTTTAAAATGTCAATCTTCTTGCCAACTGTTCATTTTTATGTTGTAGTTCAGCCTCTGACCACTAGTTGGCAGCAGTGAGCCAGCCATTTGGCTCCTCTACCTCTTGAGCGCCAGAGAGTAAGGGTAGCATTAGCATTGTGAGTAAACATTAGCTTTTCTTTTTTTTTCAGTAAGAGGTTTTTATTTAATAGAATTTTTGGACAAAAAAATAGCAATATATCGCCTTGCTTACCGTATCGCAATATATCGGGATATATCGTATCGGGACTCCTCTGTTATGATATGTATCGTATCGCCAAATTCTTGCCAATACACAGCCCTAATGTCAATGGGGAATATCTGAATATAAAAACAGGGTGTTGCTAAAATGACTGACAACACAGACTGTAGAGAAGAATCTGATGTTTCTTTAGAAAAATTTAATCACTATCATAGAGATAAGAAAGAGTCATAGTTCAGATAATATTGTTTCAATAAAAAAAATGAGGAAGTTTTTTCTTAAAGAGTTCCCCTTTGATGTCACTTCCTGTTTCGCTTTAGCTGAGCAAAATTCAAAAGAAAATATGCCAATTATGTGACGTAATGGGTCAAATCATGTATATTATGCCAAGTTTCTTAAATATAAATATATTTTCTTTGACTTTTTGTATTTCATAATATGCATGTCACAGTCACTTTAATAAATTACTGTAATCACAGAGGATCTCAACATTTTAGTGAACTTAAACCCTTTTTTTAATTACCGTATTTATTCATGTATAATACAATCGTCATTTTTTGAGCTTACAAAGCATAAAAATCTAATTATCAATAACCTGTGTCCCCCACTTTGTGGATGATTTTATGGTTAAATTTCTAGTTATTATACATGAAAAGAAAGGAGGCGCCACAAGGGAGCGTTTTCACCACAGTGTAGGAGACTTTTATTTTGAAATCACAAAGCCAGTTCAGCTTGCATGATATACGGCTCGAGTGACGACTGTCACTCCATTGTGTCCTGAATTTTTAATTTGGTCAGTGTGATCCCCTGAAACACGCTGTGTGGTGTCATCCAGCTGATGATGTTTGTCCAAAAGTTACACACAACTTTACGCATCTATTTACAAAAATATAGCATTGTTCTGAATTAATCTGCTGATCTGACAGTTTTCTTCTCAGTGGGAATGAAAATGTTTCTTAGACCAGTGTTTTTCAAAGTAAAAGCTGGTGGGAAAATTAAAAAAATTAAATAAAATTCAAAAAGTTTTCATTTTAATGAACATGAAGGAAGAAGCGTGTACAGAAAATGGATGATCATGATTAAAAATGTGTTATTTGTATTTTATCTCTTAGTTTATAATGTTTGTAATGGATAATAATATATTGAAATGTTATTTAAGAGAACTTGAGAGGTTTGGTTTCTTGTCTTCGAGTTTGTTGAAAAGTTTTTTCAGTGTTTCAAATTTTATGCATTGCATTATGCATTGCAATTACAATGCAATTCTTATGCTGAACAATATTATTGAAAAGTGAGGAGAATTTTCTTTGCAACACACCTGATTCTTCGAGTTCTGCAGAAGCCCGTCGACGACTTATTTATTTAGTTATCAGAAAGTGGAAAAAAAACGTCCTCTTTGCTGAGGTACAGTTTTGTGGTTTCAGAGACGAGCAGCTGGACGGAGCTGACGCTGCCTCAGCTGTCCGTCCCCAGGGCGGGACACTCCATCGTCATCATGGAAACGCCCGGCCGCCACCGTCCCTCAGAGGACAACGACGGGGACGAGGAGGTCCGCTCCGGGTCCGTCAGGAGAACTCTGCTGGTGTTCGGAGGCGGAGACAACGAGGGCAGGTTTTACTCGGACGTGACGAGCGTCCCTGTGGAGGATCTGCTCCGTGCTCTTTAAAGAAGGAACAGTTTTAATGTCTTTCTTCTTTTATTGTTTTATTTGAGTCTTTTTCCTCTCTCTTTGTTAAATATGCATTAAAGTTTCACTTATTTACAATGTAGTTGTAGACTCAAAACATCTTTTAAAGTAAAAAAAAACCTGCTGTTTATAAAAATATTTTCCATCACACGTGTGTCATTTAGAGAAACATCGAAGTTAAAACTTTCAATTTAAAAGCATGTACATGTAAAACTTATCATCTCAGGTACATATTAGATGTTTTATTTTATTGTTTTATAACAGTGATGCATTTACATAAATATATATTTTATTATGTTCAGATACTGCTAAAGTAATCCTAATTGTTGCATTTGGTTTCTGTTTATGCTAAATAAACAGTTGTTTCTGGAGCCCAGTCTAAAGTTATTTTATTGTCTTCAACAAGTAAACTCAACTCTGAGTCTTTGTTTATTCATTTACAACTTATCCACCTTTTCAGTCAGATATAACATAGTAAAACATTTGATTCATGTCATTTAAAATAGTGTAATCCAGTGGTTCCCAAACTTTTTATCTTCTGACCCACAAAATATCCAGGGCAAAAACTTGTGACCCCAAATATTATTGGTCTGAGTACACGAACTCCGTTAATAACCCTAAAAACACAGGCTTTTTGACAATCTAAACAGCTTGTACACAAATATACAGTAAATACTTATTTTTACTTATTTTGTGTTTTTGTAATTATAGGAAAAATATTACAGCAGCAATTATTTTATTACCCTTTAAATTGATTTCTGGAGATTAAGGTGCTTCATGACCCAGAATTGGGTCCCAAGCCCAACTTTGGGAACCAAAGTGCAGCAGTTCCCAAACTTTTCAGCTTTTGACCCACAAAACAACAGTAGCAGAGACCTGTGCCCCCAACTATTTTTGGATGATAAACATTTGTATCAGGTCAACAAAACATGGGCACAGAAACAATATTTTTATACTACATTTATCCATTTTAAATACACTAACCTCACTCATTTGTAACAACTAATGGTGCGTTCACACCGAACGCGATTTCAGCATCAGGAGCATCAAAGTCTATGGTGGACGCGCTTCAAGCAGCGTCGGGAAGTGCTGCGGCACCTCAAGCGCGATTAGAGCAGCGCGATTTGAACGATCTGAGCGTTCGACGTGCTTGATGCGCAAATCGCTGAAGTTAGAAAATCCAAACTTTTGCAGCTCGACGCGCCATATCAACCAATCAGAGAGACTCCACTGTGTGACGTAGCGACATATTTCCCGACGGGACAGTTTACTGAATGATGTCCACTAACCTGAAACAGATGGAGAGGAGCTCTTTAGCTGAAATGAGTGCCTGCAGTCGGTGTCCTGACAGGAGATATCCTCACCAATGTGTGGCAGCGGCTCATCAGACTGGACTCAGGACAAAAATAGTCCTGAAAGCGAGCTGTGAGCCTCTACTCTGAGTTATCTGGTGAATTAATTATGATTAATTATCTGATGAAAGTGACATGCTCTTGCTCTCTGTAAATAAAGCAAAGCCACTTCCTCGTCCGACATTAAACAGAGCCCGACAGAGGAGGGAGGGGCGGGGAGGCTCTGCCGTGCASCMCTTCKASAGCTGACCTGCGTCTGACCTCAAAGTGCACAAGCTTCAAACTTCAGCGTTTGCTGCGATTTTGAAGCTGAAATCGCGTTCGGTGTGAACGCAGCATAAGGCAACAATGTAATTAATTCAGAAAATCTTTTCAGGACCCCACCTTGAAGTTTTGGGACCCCACTTTGGGTCCCGACCCCAACTTTGGGAAACGCTGGTGTAGGCACTTAAAAAATGCTTTTTACCAGGTTTTCTAGAAGTGTTTATTCTATAACAATTATTGTGAACAAACACTAGCATCTCCAAAAAATTACATTAAAATAAAACTTTAATGATGATGTCATAAATATATATATTGGGGATAAGTCTCAGCTGCTGCCACTAAATATTAGATCAATGTACAGTATTTAAATTGATGGGGCGCAGTACAGTCAGAAATCCAGCAGGTGGCGACATTTTGTTACATTTTCTGCAACAACCTGAACTAATTCCCATTCAAACTACTGACAGAACTGAATAAATGTTTGTTAAAACACAAGTATTTATCTCTGTTAATAGTCTTTGTACCCTTGAGTGTCCCCCCACCAATATAAAACAGGTGTTTCTTTTGTCCCCCCTCCTGTTTGAGTCTAAGGGAAATCCTGCCAGTTGGACTCCCTCCCAGTCATTCCTAACTGGCCTCTCAGAGCCCTTCATTTCCTGAACTCTTCTTTTATTTTCTGCACAACATCCTCACATTGTGTGACTCTTTGTGACTCTCCACGCCGACTGAGTTTGGACATCACTTTTTCACTTTTTTTTTTGTTCCACTGGTGGTAGCCACATCATCTGAGACAGCCTACGGTTTTGTTGCTAAGTAACTTGGAAATGTCTGAGCCTGCAGTCAGCATTTCACAGTCACACATACGGATAACATGGGTATATATTTACATTTTATTTTTGGAGATGTGGTAGCAAATAGGGCCTATAATTTGCCTAGACTGGAGTGAGTGAAATAGGCAAACTTCAGCCAATGAGCCATCCTTACACTCCGAGTCACATAGTTAAAAACATGTTAAACTGAACATTTATTATATGTAATCATTGTGAAATTTCTCAATAATCGTTGCTGTTATGAAATAACTACATGATAAATATGTGCTACGTTTTTACTATGAGATAGCTATGTTTTAATTATGGGGTAACTAAGTCATTTAATGAAATGATTCTTATGAAAAAATCAAAATATGAATATGTAGTCATGCTAAGCTTTTGATATAACTATTATCAGATAATATTTTAATACTAAGTCATAAATGAGATATCAACGTGTAAAAACTTAGTCAAATATAACATAACTGTCACAAATAAGAGATAAAGTCTTACTACTGAGATAGCAAATTTTACTTAGTCATACTGTCATAGTAAAGACTTAGTGTTTTAAATTAAAGATACTAAGTCAAATATGTTACGACATTAAACTGTATTACATTGCAAAACAAAGAATTACTCAACTTATAAACATGAGAAAGTTGTCAAAGTGGTAAGATTTTCATTATGGAAGATTAGTCATAAATGAAATGTTAGGTTTAATAAGAAAAAATAATTAGTCAGACTAAGTCATACATGATACAACTATATATCACAACTATAGGAT